ACTATGGGGGAGGGGGGGGTTGTGGATTCAAGCAGACGTAAACCCAACATTTTGGACTGCTTTAAATACTAGGAAGCCATTATGAAGGACAGGTGAAGTGTTGTGGTCAGCATGAACTTGCCAGTCTGCCACATAGCATAAAGGGTCTCCGATGCTGCCAGTCCAGGTCATGTAATCTATTTGCGGTATTAGGTCATGTGACTCTCAGCAGTTCTGCATTGTGGGCCCGGACGTCAGCAGAAGCGTTTGCTCACTTCGATTGGAGGCTCTGCAGTCATTAGGGCTTGTTGACACCAATTGCGCTGCGTTCCAGAGCGGGAGCTGCTGGAACGCACCCCAATCGCTCACAAAACTTCCCCCTTCGTTCTGGGGCAGTGCATTGAAGTCAATGGCACCGCAGCCACGCCCATCACCCACAGCACGATCGCACGCGTGGCAAAACATTGTCTGCGTTGGGTTCCACTGCAAACGCAAAAAAATGCTGCATGCACTATTTTTTGCGTTTGCAGTGAAACGGAACGCAGGCAATGTTTTGCCACGCGTCCGATCGCACTGCGTGTAGGGGGCGGGGGCCTGGCTGCGGTGCCATTGACTTCAACGCACCGCCCCAGAACGAAGGGGGAAGTTTTGTGAGCGATTGGGGTGCGTTCCAGCAGCTCCCGCTTTGGAACGCAGCGCAATTGGTGTGAACGAGCCCTTAGTGCCCCATTGGAAGGCTGCCATGGCATTAGATTATGTGACCTGGATTTGGAACACTATGGGACCTTCGCATTAAAGTGGTTCTAAAGCCAAAAGTGAGTGGTAAGGGGTTAGAAGCCCTGTCAGGTTTCCTTGGCTATGTCCCCTACAGTCACCAGGACTGAAAGTGAGGAAAAAAAATCAAAAAACTTTTGAACTGTGCCAAAGGAAGTGAGGGGAAATCTTTTCAGTGTGGACACTTGTTCCGACGACCACATCGAAGTTCCCTTAGTTTGGAGAGATTGGCTCTCACTTCCTATAGAAGCAGCACATGAAGGGAAATCATAGCACAAAAAAACAAAACCTGATGGGGGGGTGTAACTCTTACCTTGCACAAAACAAAAAAATATTTTGGCTTCAGATTAACTTTACATTCATTCTGCCAAAGACCTTAATACTCATTTAAAGCAGACACACATTTAGACCTTAGGAGTGCTTTAGGTGTCACGCTGGGGGGGGGTGAGAAGGGTGACTAATACTGGAGACAGAACCAGATTTTGGGGTGACATTTCCATGTATATGTCCCTTCACTCCCATCAATGGCCATTGAATAAGGCACGTTACAGTTTGGAGAAAGGCTGTGACATCTTGCACCTACCCTTTCACCTCCAGGGGATTGGAGGGTTTGATCGCCTGGCTGCACTGGCTCTTCCAACCGACCTCCCTACTAGTGGTCCCAGCTGCTCCCTGCGCCTTGCGGCCTCCCTCTGCCTCTGCTCGCGGCTCATCAGTCTCGGAATGCGGCTGGGCTTTTCCTGACGCAGAAGTTTTAGCCGTTCCATGTAATCTAATGCTACTGGAGGAAGCACTGCGCACAGCCGCCGCACCCCTTTGGTCAGGCTGTCGTTTATTGTTTTTGCCAAACGTGACGGAGCCCTCGCGAGCCTCTTCCACCAGGGCTCTCTGCTGGCGCTACCGGCATGAGACCGCCTGGCGAGCACAGGTATGCGGCTTCTGTAGCCACCTTTGTATGTTTTCGGGAAAAGGGAGAAGAGCCCGCCTTCCCGCACTGCCCCACAGCGTTGGAGGACTCTGAAGACCGGCTGCGGCAACCGCAGTAGTGCCTTCAGCCACAATTTACGCCCTCGCTTCGGCCATTCCTTAACCCACTGACTCGACGGCTTTCCCAGAGAGCCGGCCGCCAGGAATACAAACAGGAAAAACCCAGGCGAGGTAAACACCCCGACCGCTATTGCCAATACTGGTACGTAGTACAGTCGCAGCCTGTAACTCATGGCCAGCACAGCCAGCGCTCCCCAGCTCTGTGTCAGTAGCATGAAGGAAGCGGGGCTTAGAGCGAACACCCAGCATAGCAGTATGTAGCCGCATAGCAGGCTGGCCCCGAGGGTTTCTAGGGCCACTAGCACAGAGTCTAGAAGCGGCCCTGATCTCCAGAGGGTGAGGAGCGCCAGCAGGAGGGGCAGCAGAGACCACGGGCAGGAGGGCCTGGAAGCCGCCAAAAGAGTTAGAGCAGCACAAAGAGCGTGGCTCGGTAAGGAGGAGGAAACCTGCGAGGGCCCAGGTCGGAGGGGAACCTCCGGCTCTGCCACCTGCATGGATGTCAGCTCAAAGTAGGGGACATCTGTGTCTGGACTGCCATCTGCTGCAGTGCGCTCTAAAGAAGCCTCCGCGTCTGCCGCTTCCTCCTCATCCTCAGAGCTGCAGAGGCTGAAAATGCCGCTTCCTCCCCCTTCCTCCTCATTATCATCCTCCTCCTCCTCCCCAGGCCTTACTTTCAGGCTCTTGGGCTGCTGTCGGACTTCGGCGGCGTGTTTCTGGCGAAGCTCCTGTTCCCGCCGCTTGTTGTACTCCAGCTGGTTGCCCAGCTCTGTCTGGTGCTGCAGGCGGATCAGTTCGCTGCGCGTGTGCTGCAGCAGCTGCAGGTGACGGAACTCCAACTCCTGGGTGCATTCGTGCTGCCGCAGTAACATGGCGCACTCCAGGTCTCGTTGCGTCTGCTTCTTATTCAGATCCTGCGGGAACAACAAAACCGAACCGTTATCATTTACAGCTTCAAAGAAATCGGAAGTTTTAGATTTATAGACGTTTCTGTATTCACTATTCAAGCTCGCTTCACGATCGAGATTTATTTCATATGCATCTGTCTGGAGTTTTCCCTTAACCCAGGAGAGGGAACTGGCACTCACCTCTCGGAGAAGGTCCTGGTCCAGGTTGTGCCTTGCCAACAGCATTTTTCGTTTATACTGCCGACACTGGAGCTCAAAGTACTGGCGCTGTCTGCGCAGAAGGTTAGCCTCCTCCTCTGCCTGGTAATGCTGCATACTCTCTTTCTGGCGGAGTAGCCACTCCTGTTTCTCCCGCTTCGGCGTGCTCTGGTTCTCCTGCAACTCCTGCCAAGAAAAGACTTGAATGAAGCCTCCGCTGGCTGGTAAAACTCAACTCCTGACACCGTTTTTTTATTTTTATTTTGAGAAAGTGGGGGGAAAGATTTTTATTACATTCTGTGCCAGCAACTAACTGTCCCAGTGACAGCAACTGCAAGCAACGAACATCTTCCATACTAACAAGGGCCAGCTTCAAAAGCAGGACGTGAGGGGAAATCGCAACAGGAAAATAGAAATAAATATCTGAAAGAGGTTCTAACTTCCCCCAGTCCATCCAAAACAAAACAAAATTAAAAGAGGGATGAAGAGGCTATGAAAGCATTCTGAAATGGGGGCGGCGGGGACAGTTTTATAGCCATTGAGTACCAGACTGCATAGTAGCAGCTCTTTCATGGCAGGGACAGTGTATATAACAAATGTTTGCCTACTATACGCCACACTCCTCCGCTCACTGTACTGTGCAGTGCATCCTATACTCCATATCATATCACTCTGCACACTGTGCTGTACGTCCCATATACCACAACATGCCCCTTGGCACACTGCTATACATTCTCTTCACCACAAGCCTTTAGATTACAGAGAGAATCCAACCCTGCTAGCCGATCTGTCCTTGTTGACCTTGTTTTGCTCACCTCCTTGAGCTGCTCCTTGCGGATCTTGTACTGCCTCTTCTGGCTCTCCAGCAGGTTCGTCAGCTCCTTCTTCTGCTGACCCAGGATGTGCTGCTGAAACTTTTTTTCCTCCGTCATAGCTGCCTTGCCCTTTAGGGATGAACATTCATCTGTTTAATATACACATTATACGCTTGGGCTATCCCCATGGGAAGATGCTAGATCTCAGGTTTATACACTGACCAACTGGGTTCAATGAGGTATGAGTCACTGACCTGGAACAAGTACACATAGAGTAGTTGTAAAGTCAGTGTAGACTCACACATTCTTATGTGCATGCTTGTTCCATGAAGGAGAGTGAACTTGACAGCCAGAAAACTAGCATTTGCAGAATGAGAATTCGCAATGGCAGCCTCAATGTCTCCAGCAGGAAAGGTCTCCATTAATGGTGCCCTCCATGCTTTTAAATGCATTCCACACACTGGGATTGGGGATTTGAATGTTTGCTCCCGTGGCCACTATTTCTTAGCCTGACAAAGCTGAGAAGGTTGGAACCAGACCAAAGAAGTGTGGGGAAGAAGGAAACAACAACTCTAGAAGCAAATGATTGATGCCATGATTGATTTGCTTTTTTGCATCTATTTTTTACTTTCAAATCTCCAGCCGGTTCCGCCCCCCTGCGACGCGGATCCTTGCAAGGGACGGAACCCGGATGCTGGCATCGGCCGGAGGACACAGCGAGGATCGTGGACAAGGTAAGACGCTACAGTGTAATCCCGAGTGTGGCTCTGGGTTACGGCTTTTGGTAATGAAAATTAACCCCGAGCCACACTCGGGATCACCGCCAGGGAGGTTAATCTGTGGATCTACATATCTTTCTTACTATATTGTCAATGACATGCTACCTCAAAGTCTATACTACAGCATACCCAGCCAAATATGCTACACATGGCTGGAAGTCTCAATACACCTACTGGGGCATAATGTGGTCTGATCATGATTTTTATGCCACGGCAGTAGCGCAGACCCAATGAATTAAAGTACAGAGATCTTCCCAATAGGGTCCCGGAGAGATATAGGAAACCATTTAAGTTCTACCAAAAACTGTTTTGATGGACTGACCCATTAAGAAGGCTGTACTCCTTTAATAGTAACCGAATGCAAGCCCTCCACACTATTCATGTCACACATCATGGCCTACAGAGAACCCTCTTCCCCTGCTTCTACCTGACCCCCCAGCACTCACCTCTTTCTCAAATATGGCCTGGTGTTTCTTGCCAAGCTTATCGGTCTCCGCAGAAAAATTGCTCCGGTGAGCCTCCAGCTCTTTGTCCAGACGCTGTTGGTGTTCATCCAGCTCGGCTTTGAGCTTGTTCTCCAGCGCCATCAACTGCTTCTGGTGCTGCCGCCTCATGCGCTTGTACCCAGACATCTGTTCTCGTAAGGCCGAGTCCTGCTCATGTTCCTGAATCTGACGAGTCACCTGTGTTGTAGAACAGAATCACAAATCAAACTCACGGAATTCGGAGAGGCAGGAGGCCGAGGAAACGCGGAGTGACCCTCACCAGGGAGGCGGTGCGGATAGTGGCAAAGTGGTCCCTGTTGCGGCAGTAGGCCCTGCGCCGAGCCGCGGAACTCGACTGCTGTGCCTCCATCTCTGGCTGGTACGGATCATCATATATGTTGTCGTGAGCCTGGAAAAAAGGAGCCTGTATGTTAATACAGAAACAGCAAGGAAGCTGGGTGTGTGGGTGTAAACAAGGGAAGGCTAAAACACCAAACTGCCACTAAAAAAAGGTTTCTTTAAAAGTATACCCGTCAGACACAACAGTGAGATAGCCATAGTGCTGGATGAAGATAGGAAAGCATATTAAAGTGAATCTATGCTTTAGCCTATTAAAAGACAGGTTCTCTTCATAACCCATGCTCCCTCCTTCCCACTGATACTTACCTTCCCCATGCTTCCATGCCACTCTCTTTACCTAGAGACTAGAGCAGGAAGCCCTGCGGCAAAATTTACAGAATGTTAATTACTTGCTCTCATACCCCATGTGTTAGAGCTCAGGCCTGGCAACTCTACCCCACTGCATCTTGAAGGAAAAAGAGAATGTCGCATGCTCCCCCATACCCTGAAGTACTGGGCGGCATGTTCAGGAATAAAGCACAGGAAACTGCAGTACAGCGTAAATCAGTCTTACACACAGGCAGCTGCTTTTGTCCTGCAAATGACTGTAGGCCTTGAAGCAAATCTAAACAGACTGGTCATCAACAGCCCTGAATATTTATTAAGATAGATACTGAACCCCCTTTAAAGAACCATTCACTTTCTTGAACCCCAGAAAATTCAGTTCTCTGGTACATACCGGCAGCCGGTGGATGACAGAGCTGTTGGAGGTTACTGTGTGGTCTCCTTCCTGCATCATGGCCATTTCTCCGCTGTCGTCAGAGGCATCCGCCAGGCTGTTCACCGAGCTGCTCTGACTGCTGGCGCTAATGGACATGCTTGGTACGGACTGGCTGCTCTCCATGCTAGTTATGGTGCCCGTGCAATGGAGGAACTGCTCCGACTCCTGACAGAAAGGGAAAAGGCGTTAAACCACTGAAAGCTGGATATTAGGCTGTTCTGGTCTTCTGAACCACATTTACTGTATCAATGAGTTGTTTCCCTTCTCTGTTGGTAGAATACAAACTGACATGAGGGGAGGGCAAAGACACAAAGATGGTAAACATGTCCCCCTTCCAGAGAGTGTAATATATATATACACATATACACACACATATACACACACACACATTGCAGGATGTAAATTTCAACCTGGTTCTGTCTGGAGCTTAGACTGTGTCTTGGTGCCCTATTGCTACCGACAACATGTACTGGATATGGAGGACACAGTGCCTCTCCATGTAGCCTCCTCTCACCTCCTCCTCCTCAGTGGTCTCTGTGTTCGGTCCATTCTGTGTGTCCTGGAAGAGGATTTTCTTCATTTTCCGGTACTGCAGGTTGTCCAGCTCACGTACCGCGTCCTTAGTGCGCTGGATAAGCTCCATGATAACGGTCTGCGGCCTCTCCCTCTGCAGGAAGCGGTGCTGGAAAAAGAAAAGCAGAGGTTTCACAGAGATCATGATGGAAGCCACATTGGGGGGCAACTAAGTTGTTAAAGCGGATCCTCTACCTCAGTGGCAAGATCCGATTATTCAAGGTGCCGCTGCCCAAAACAATGCATAAAACTTTTCCCCCACCATCCGCAGTGCAGGAAGTGCAAACAAGATCCCTGGAAATGCCGAGTAGGTAAAATCCCGCGAGAATAACCTTCAGCACGTGCAGGATTGTGTTATGACAGTATCTGGCCTACGACATACCCCAGAAAGGTAATTCTTTTTTTCAGCATTTTGGCATGGGGGGGGGGGG